CTTGGCCAGATGATGAAGCAGGCCCAGCAGATGCAGGAAAAGATGGGCGAGATGCAGGAGCGCCTGGCCCAGGCCGAGATCGACGGCCAGGCCGGCGGCGGGCTGGTCAAGGTCACCATGACCGGCAAGGGCGACGTCAAGGCCGTGCGCATCGATCCCTCGCTGGCCAAGCCGGAGGAGATCGAGGTGCTGGAGGACCTGGTGCTGGCCGCCGTCAACGACGCCCGCGCCAAGGTCGAGGAGACCGCCTCCGAGCAGATGAAGGAGATCACCGGCGGCCTCGACCTGCCCGGCGGCTTCAAGCTGCCGTTCTGAGGCGCGCGGACAGCCGCGGACGGCGGCGGCGCGGATCACGCCGAGAGCGAGGCCCCGTGAGGACCTCGCTTTGGCGCATTGCCAGGTCGGACAGCATCCCGCCGGGATCAGGTGTTAGGGTGATTTTTCGCGACCGGCGGACGCGCTGACGCGCGTCCAACCGGTCACGTCTCTCTCTCTCTAAAGCCGGCGCAGGCGGCAGGCATAGAAGCCGTCGAGCCCGCCGGCCTCGGCCAGATGGCAGGGCAGGCTGCGCAGCGCGCCCTCGGCGTCGAGCAGCTCGGCCAGGCCGCCGACCTCGCCCGGGTCGATCGGCTCGCGCACCGCCGGCGCGCCCTCGGCCAGCACCGCGGCGACCACCTCCGGCCCCTCCTCCGGCTGCAGCGAGCAGACGGCGTAGACCACCGGCGCGCCCGGCTCGGCGCAGGCCAGGGCGTTGGCGAGCAGGCGCTTCTGCACGGCAACGATCGCCGGCAGGTCCTCGGCCCGCTTCAGGTGGGCGATGTCGGGGTGGCGGCGCAGGGTGCCGGTGGCCGAGCAGGGCGCGTCGAGCAGCACCGCCTCGGCCGGCCTCGGCGGCTGCCAACTCCGCAGATCGGCGGCCACGGTGGGCACCGCCAGCTTGAGGCGGTTGAGGTTGTCGACCAGGCGCTTCAGCCGCTCGGCATCGGCGTCCACCGCCACCACCTTGGCGCCGGCGGCGGCGAGCTGCGCGGTCTTGCCGCCGGGCGC